TCTCTCTCTCTCTCTCTCTCTCTCTCTCTCTCTCTCTCTCTCTCTCTCTCTCTCTCTCTCTCTCTCTCTCTCTCTCTCTCTTCTCCGATGCGGACAGCCCGTCGTCACGCACCAACCCACGAAGTCGTCACCCCGCTTAGTCCTCTCACACCCGTCAGGTTCGCCCGCCCCCACAGTCCGTCGTGGCCCGCGTCAACCCCGCGCATTTGGCACCAGCCCGTCGGGTCGCCCGACTCCCACTTCAACTCACCTCTTACTTCGCTCGTGAGCCGATCCTCGCTGATCGCGCTACCCCGAGCTTCCAACAACTGGTTAAGAGAGCTATCTAATCGCGCAGCCGGAATTATAGCGTGCATGCATGCGCGAAGAACACGGAATTGCAAGGACTTAGAGAGGAGGTCATGAGAGGGAGTGCCTACGTTCTGCATGGCCAGATCGTGGCGTGGGGGACGTAGCCTCCATCCACGCATCGATCCGAGCATGCAGTCCGTGGACTAGCTAGACTCAGCAAGAGAAAGTGAGAGCGGGAAACACGAAGCATAAGAAGAAAGATACAGTTACAATCGCGCCCGCCCAAAATTACAGTTACACACACGATTAAAGGCGCCCACTAATCAGAGTTCCGTCGCAGCCACGTAAAGAAGCGCGTGAACAAAAAGCGCTGCGCGGCAAAAGAAAAATCCTAATTACAAAAAGTCCTAAATTCCCACCAAATGCAGGAAAAGCAAAAAGCACAAATTCCGAAAAGGAAATCCGAAATTCCGAGAGCCATCGGGGCTCACCAAGATTCAAAAAGGAAATTCAAAAAGAAATTTCAAAAGAAACGAAGCGAAATTCCCGCGCGATGTCCGCGCCCAAAGTCCAAAAACCGAAACAAAAGAAGCGACGTCAACATTTATTAATTGCGAGCACGGCGGCGCGCCACTCACACAGCCAATGAATCAATCGATCATCCCGGGACTCACCCTGCCCTGAACCCAATCATCCGAGAAGAGACGACGAAAAAGGACGAAGAAGGGAGGACACCGATGCAATTTCCCTTCAATCCCATCTCCCGTAATTGGCCCATCCTTCCCATCTTAGGACCTTGCTACCGCGCAGAAAATCGCGCGGTGCAGAAATCGGTTTGTCACAGTGCAACCTACACCAACCAATTGTGCTCAGGGGAAATTGCAGGCCGACAAAGTCAAACCTGCAACCTCCCTATTGCAACATCAGAGCTACCATGTACTTGCTTACCAACTGACCATCTCAGATACCAAGCATGCCACAGGCACTATCGTGGGGGCAATGGGAGTTGAACCCACGACCTCCTGAGTGCCGCTTGAACGCCTTACCAACTGAGATACACCCAGTTGGTGGCTTGACCTTTTTCGTACGCAGAAGGACATTGCACAAACCATAACACACTTCTGCAGAGACTGCCTGGGAGGGGACTGAGGAGGCTGGATAGGATTGGTGGCCTGGACGGGACCCTCAAGGAAGGCAATCATAGGATGATCACATTCCCAGGCAGAACGCGGAGATTGCCAGAGATTACCAGCTTATCTTCAGCAACTAGATCCAAGTGGATCCAAGCACACCTCTCAGACCTGCGTCATACTTTCCTGATCCCTTCCTCCCACATGCCCTCCCATTGGTGGAGGTCCCCAGGTCCAATGATGCCCCGAGTCCCAAGGCAGGTACCCGGTACCCAGGGCTGCAGGGCCCAGATTAACTGCTTTCAGCTCCTATATCTACACAACCTCCTTTTCGTCCTTAATTCATAAATGCTAGGTAGTTAAGGAAGAAGGGGAAAAAAAAAAAAAAAAAAAAGGAAGACTGGTAACTAATAAGCTTCACAAGTTCTTTTTTCCGGGAAAGCTCCACAACTCAATGGACACCAATAACATGTGCTGACCTTTTTTTTTTTTTTTGTAAACAAGGCCAGAGCGGACCTTCTAGGGGGGGTGATACGAGCAGCCACCCCTAGTAAACCTATCACTAACCGCTCCATCTATGCTGACCTTAAGAGAAAAACAAAAAAGGAAAACTTTAAGGGGAGGAAACCAGTGCAGTTGAGGATTGTACCTACACAAATCAATGGACACATAAAACACATGATGAGGAGATGGACAAAAAAACAGGGAAAGAAAGGAGAAAAGAACACAATCTTACAGAATCCCATGCAGTGAAGGGTGCTCCAAAACCAATAGAAGAAAAATGAAGGGGTAACTACAGCACAGTCACGAAAGCAGGGTTTTTTTTCTTTTTTTTCCCGAGCCTATTTCCGAGAAGTTCTTGCCAGCTCCCGAACTTTCAGGAGGCCGAGCCCGACAACGGCTGCCATTGATAAATCTCATCGGCGGCCATTGTTTCGTTTCGGCCTCCTGAAAGGTCGGAGGCCGAGTATTTTTGAACCGACAAAGGTACTAGTGGTTTAAGCCCAGGGTGTTGTAGAGGCCAAGGACCAGACCCGCGGTGATTGCTGGTAGCGGCAGCCAATGGTTGTCCTGACAGGATAGGCATTCAAATTTCAAACTGTGTTTTAGCAGTTTAACTCGGGCTGGCCTTCTTTAGCAGTTCAGTCAGGCACGTGGCCCCCTTTTTTTTTCCTGTCAGGCGTGGCCGAGACATTTTGGCCGTGGCCCCACCACACAACGAGATGCCTTTTTTTTTCCCTCAGGAGTGGCCAAGACATCTCGGCCGTGGGCCCGCCACGCGACGGGAAAAAAAAAAAAAAAAAATGCAACAACAAAAACAACGAGCCACGTGGCTGACTGAACTGCTTAGAAAGGCCAGCCCGAGTTTCAACTGCATTTGAAACTCGGGCCCTGACTGAAAAAACTGCTAAAACGCAGTTTGAAATGCAATTACAAACTGTAACCCTGACTGCGCCGTAGTTTTCTCAAAAATAAAAGGAGAAAAAAAGATCATTAAAAATTCCCCTTCACACCTGCCTTTTCAGCAGCCTTCCTCATTGAGAAGGGTCAAATGTTGGAAGTCAAATGCTAGAAGGTTCAACAACAAGATTCAACAATGAACCTCCTTGGGGGCGTGGGGCCCGATTCCCAGTTTGCATTGGATAAACAAAGACATATCTCCCCCTCCCCCCCCCTATCCCACCCCACCGCACCCCACCCCCAGCACATGAAAAAGAACCTTGGTGGCCCACCCCAGTCGTATGTCAACCGTGTAGAACGACCTATCTCGAGAAACCTTCCCTTCAGTTCCCTCCTTTCAGATGGTATTCCCTCTTGCTCTTCTATCACCGAAAGCCCTCCCCCCTACCCTCTACTGCACCCCATCCCTCCCTTATGTACACACACATACATACCCCTACTCATCCCTTCCACACAATGTGATTCTTTTGCTTGCATGCCATTCTCATGTGTCCTGTTTCCCTGTTCACTCTTGACCTTTCTTTCTGCACCACAATCTTCACCCGAACAGAACGCCCAGTCATTATAGCTGCATTTTGGGCAAAGTTCACTGTAGACACAGTGATAATGACCGAGCATTCTATTCTGGTGAAAGACGGTAGCCAGTGGTTCACGCTGATGTGAGCTTGCTCGTTGGGATCCACGCCTGGTTCTGACGCGTGATCAGATGACTTCCAGCCCCGGGGCCCCGCTCATCGGGATCTTTGGTTTCCAACCGTAGATTACAATGACCAGTGGCCTGGACTGAAGTGTCTGGGCAAGTGGGACCTTGTCCTGTGACCTGTGAGTCCCTCTTATGCACTCTCCCTCCATTCTTCTAGGATTCCCAACCCTGGCACTACTTCAAGTAAGAGCATAGTATTCACACAAATAGGGCCTTTCGCAGTACATCTGGTCGCAGTGGTGGCCAGAATCAGTCACAGAAGCGGTAGACTGAGTGCACCTGCAGGCTCACTGAGTTTCCGTCCAGTGTCGTCTACTCTCTGAGAGGGTACCCAGACTACCGTGTTCACCCGAATAGAACGCGCGGTCATGATATTAGCTGTATATAGGGCAACTTACAGTCCACATGCAGCGATAATGACCGGGCGTTCTATTCTATTCGGGTGGAGACGGTAGGCACTTCTTCTCATGAATGTACTTCACCTTCATTGCTGCCAAATTCAGTCCAAGAAGGTCCTTGTGTGACATACCCTTAGATTACACCGTGCTGTTTCTTCAACATACGCCACATCCCAACAAATTTGTCGGAACCTGGATGTAAACGTGGTCAGGTAGTTGGAAGGAAGTCCTACTGGGAGCATCCCCCTAACTCCCTTCCATGGACTCTGAAAACGGATTTCCTGTTTTACAGCTCTGAATTCATGCTCATACCAAAACTTTCCTGAATGCATCTGCCTGATGTTACGTCCAGGTTCCTTTCAGAAATTCCGTGAGTATGCCTTCACTTTCCTCCTCATGGATTCACCTGTGCTCCTCACACTTCCCATGGACTTCATTCTTCCATCTTTGTCCTTCCGCCATTGGAATTACAAGCTACTTCTCTGTGTGATCGGCCTCGGGCTCCTGTCTTCGCCTTACCACCGCTCAGATTTTCTGTTCAATAAAAACATAAAAGTAGCCCTGTGCCTCATTACAGGACCTGGTGCACCTTTGTCTTAAGAAACAAATTGTTTTAGAAAACAAATTGTTTTAGAAAACAAATTGTTTTAGAAAACAAATTACAGCTGCTGCCTTTTGATTGGCTCGTTGATGACGAAGCATATAGCAGGGATTCCTGCAGTCTATCAGACACTGACAGACAGTCTTCGGTTCCTGAGACCTTGTCAACGAGGAGCATTCGCTGTGCGACAGTCCATGTCTGGTACAATCCATGTCCGGGTCTAAAGAGCTTTGCTTGTGCTGGTTCAATCCATGTCCGTCTCTAAGCATGTCCGGGTCTGAAGAGCTTTGCTTGTGCAGTTCACGACCGTCTTTGAATATCACAGGGAGGGAGTCCGTCAGACAACTTTTGGTTCCTGAGACTTTGAGGAGCACTCGTTGTGGGGCAGTCCATGTCTGGGACAATCCGCGTCCGGGTCTAACGAGTTTTGCTTGTGCTGATGCAATCCATGTCCGGGGCTAAAGAGTTGTGTTTGTGCTGGTACAATCCATGCCGCCTCTAAGGATCTATGGTTGTCAACTTGTCATGCAATCCCTGACCATCTGAGAATATCACAGGGAGTCCGTCAGACAGTCTTATGGTTCCTGAGACTTTGAGGAGCATCGGTTGTAGGACATTCCGGGTCTGGTACAGTCCATGTCCGGGTCTAGACTTTGAGGAGCATTGGTTGAAAGAGCTTTGCTTGTGCGGGTGCAATCCATGTACGTCCCTAAGGAATGCCGGTTGTCGAGCAATCTGTGGCCGTCCGTGAATACTTGCAGAGAGCCCATCAGTCAGTCTTTGGTTCCTGAGACTTTGACGAGCATTCGTTATGGGACAGCCCATGTCTGGTAAAATCCATGTCCGGGTCTAGATAGCTTTGCTCGTGGTGGTGCAATCCATGTGCATCTCTAAGGATCGCTGGTTGTGGTGCAATCTTGGACAGGCTGTGAAGAATTGTTGGCTGTGGTACAATCTATCTCCAGGAATAAAGAGCTTTGCTTGTGCGGGTGCAACCCAATTACGTCTCTAGGGAATGCTGGTTCAAGTTGTCAAGCAATCTGTGGCCATCTGGGAATACTTGCAGAGAGCCCATCAGTCAGTCTTTGGTTCCTGAGACTTTGAGGAGCATTCGTTATGGGACAGCCCATGTCTGGTAAAACCCATGTCCGGGTCTAGATAGCTTTGCTTGTGGTGGTGCAATCCATGTGCGTCTCTAAGGATCGCTGGTTGTGGTGCAATCTGGGACCTGCTGTGAAGAATTGTTGGCTGTGGTACAATCTATCTCCAGGAATAAAGAGCTTTGCTTGCGGTGGTGCAATTCATGTCCGGGTCTACAGCGCCTTTCCCAGGGTGGGGCAATCCGTATTCGGCTCTAAAGTGCATTGCTTGTGGTGGTGCAATCCATGATTCCATGTGGCATGTCCGGCTCAAACGAGCGTTGACTGTGTGGTAAAATCAATGTTTGGGTCTAAAGAGCTTTGCTTGTGGTAGAGCAATCCATGTCCGGCTTTAAAGAGCCTTGCTTTTGTGGTGCGATCTAAAGAGCGTTGCTTGTGGTGGTGCAATCCATGTCTGGCCCTAAAGAGAGTTGCTTGCGTTGGTGCAATCCATATTCAGCTGGAACGAGCGTGGGCTCTGGTACACTCCATGTGCGGGTCTAAAGAGCTTTGGCTGTGGTGGTGCAAGCCATGTCTGCCTCTAAAGGGCGTTGATTGTGGTGGTGCGATCCGTGTCCAGTTTTAAGAAGACTCGGGAGTGTTGTGGTACAACCCATGTGCGGTTGTAAAGGTCTGAGAACCTGCATAGCCAACACCTTTTCTGTACTTCTGCTGCTCTGCATCATCAGTCTTTGGCTCTCAAGGTCTGAGCATCGACCGGCAAAAGCTTGTCTGCATCCTACGGCCCTTAAGCAGAGAGGCTGGGAGAAGATCAGGCTCTGTAGGAATGCAGTTTTCTTCCAATTTGATGCTGTAGTGTGCCCTGCAATAACTGGGTTCAATAGATCTGTATCTTACTAGAAACTCGCACCAAGTACAGCCACGAAGACATCATATTCGACTCCGCAAACACCATGATGTGCACCACTGCCAATGTGTATAACACATTATCCATCGGTAGTAATTACGTATTAATCCATAATTCGTAAATTGACTATCACCTTGACACCTACTCTGTGACCACCAGTCAATGGATCCAAGATGTTAAGCACCAGCGAATTGGAATTGGACGCTCCACTGGCAAGCTATGGCCCTCGGATGATGTTTCATTTCAAAGAAACAAGGAAAGAAAGAAGCTATGCTATGGGCCTATGGCAATACATTGGTAATATCAACACCCACAATGATGTAGATCAGTCAAGGAGATCTCTACATCAACGACAGTCGACCATAGAGCGCTACATCAACGGCAAGGGCCCCAGATTGGCTAGTACAGCAATGGCCTCTTCCGGACACCTATTATGATCATGTGGTTTGCGTAGAGTCATAGACCTATCCCCGTCATTCAAGACTATATATAGTACATGAACCGTTCTTCTTGAAGGTCTATACCTATTAATGTGGAGAGGAGGGGAGGGGGGGGGGGGGGGGGGGGGGGGGGGGGGGGGACTCGGGGAGGAGGGAGCGGGGGAAGGTGGAGTGTCGGGAGTTCCTGCCCAATGGGGTAATGTCATTGAAAATCAGCACCATCAGGATATCTTTGTGATGCCCCCTTACCCCCCACTATGATAGAGGTCCTTCGCCCTTCAGGGCCACCTCCATGATGTGATTAAGTCGCTCGATCCCCTTCTGAACACTCCCCTGGACCGCGTTGTGGACCACGTTCTTCCTGAGATTGGGTGAGAGTTTGAGGGAGGTAACCCCTCCTCTGTCATCTCCGACTAACAGGATCGGATGCTTGGGGTTGAACGCTAGCTTTAGCAGCTTGGCTTTCCTTACGATCTTCTGCTCGCACATGGGTTCGTGCTTGTTCTCCGCCAGGTCGAAAACGTGGACCTTGCCGTCATTGGTAACGGCGGCAAAGGTTGTGACTGAGTACGGGGCCCAAGCAACATCCCCAACAGCGTTGCTCAGGTCGAAAGACAGGACCGGATTGGGATTGGTGTGCTCCCACAGCTTGACGGTCCAGTCTGAGCTGGCCGAGAGGAAGACACGCGGATGCCAGTAGTTCCATGCTACACTGTGCACTGCCATGCTGTGCCCCTTGTATGTCTCAAGGTACTGAGAGTTGTAGGCCTTGGAACACTTGTGGATGGTCCCTTCCTCCGTGCCAACGATGAACAGATGATCCGTGGTCCGGTTGAAGTCGAAACAACACCCCCCAGCGAGGCTCCCCAGCGTGGCATCGTCATCGGCCTCCAGGGCCTTCCAGTCAGTTGTGAGCTTAAGTTCCATGACATCTTGGTGCTGCAGTTCGCTCTTGCTCATTGTCCATAAGGACACTCGGCCATCGCTAGAGACGCTGAAGAAGCTAAGTGCCTTCGTCAAGTCTTCCTCCTGCCAGCGCACTTGCCAGACCGGGTCCGTGTGCTTGCCCGTCTTCACTGTGGACTTGAAGATTGGACGGTTGAGCTTGTTCCGCACATCGTACACCACCACGCTCCCGTCATACAATCCTACCGCCAGCAGCGAACAATGCTGTGGATGAAAGTCTAAGCTCATCACCCCAGAGTCGGTGGTGAAGACGTACTCTGGGTACGACGGATTCTTCAGAGTGAAGCAGCAAATGACACCAAGTGTTTGTCGAGTGAACGAGAAGCTGCCGTAGCCAACGGCGAACAGGTCCACGTACTCCGGGTTCCAGCAGATGGACGTCACGCACTTGCGACTGCCTCTTTCGTGATAGAACTTCCAGAGCGGAAGTAGAGTCCCCTCTCCTTCCCGGAACGCATCCGAGGCATCCTCCCAGTACTTGTAATCTTCTGCAATTTCTTCATACGTGTTTTGGTTCAGCATTCTCTCAACCACTCTGACTGCCTTATACATGGTCTTACCGTGGACGCAGCTGTCCCGCTCGTCTCTCCGCCCGGAAGAGACCTCCTCTCGGCCCGCAGGGCTCGCAGCAATCCGATTATGCTCGTCCGGTTTGCCTGCTGCTGCAGCACCTACTCCTGCAGCAGCAGCACCCGCAGCAGAACCTGCTGCCCCTCCAGGTCCTCCACTCCCTCCGCCTCCTCCGCCTCCTCCTCCCCCCTCTCCTGCTACCCCCGCTTCTACCGCCGCGGCTGCCGCTAATTTCCCTAGCTCTCTCTTCTTCTGAACCTCTCTCTGTGCTCGCTGACTCTCCTGGTCCTCCATGTAGCTGTCAAATATAACCCACTGTGTGGCCAACGCGTTTTCGTCGGCCAGATGAGGGGGCTCCGTCTCAATGCCCCTATCGCGCAGGCTGTTGTTCACTGTTTGAGCGGCTCGCTCGCTGAAGTTGAACTCGTTCCTGAGCGTCTTGAAGTCATCTTCCATGCTCCCCCGGCGCTTGGGAGGCTCAGTCTCTCCAGGTAGCCGAGGAGAGAGAGTGAGAGTGATAGGAGAGGAGGGAGACGCAGGGGATTCCGGTGCAGAGGTGCCAATCCCCTCCGGGGATGCAGAGGTTCCAGGCGGTTGCTCCGACCCCTCTGCACCCGGGGTGGGAATCCCTAGGGCCAGCAACTTCACCCTCTCCTCCTCCTCTTTCTTCTTTCTCTCCTCTATGGCCTTGATCGCCTTCTTCTCCTCCTCTATCCGCTCAAACTCCAGCTGTCTCTTTGCTTCCTCCGACCCCTTGTTCATCAGCCACCCGTCCATTGCGAAATGCATCCCCAGCTGGTCCACAAATTGGTCCAGCTTGTACCCTTTCTCGTTGTGCAGGTACCTCACCACGTTCCTAGGTGCATTGGGATTATTGGCCGTCAAAGTCTTTGTGATTTCCTCGCAGAGCTCGTCCGGGGTTAGATGCAGTTGCTCCTTGGGAGCTATGATCTCACGTTCAGGGGGCGCCCAACCGATATCCCGATCACTGAGGGGGGAAGAAGGGCCTCCGCTACTCCCTCCTTCCCCGGACTCTCTCCTGTCCCATCCAACCCCCCCACTTCTTGCAGATCTCAGTCTGTCTTCGCTCAGATCACCTGCTCCTGAACCTCCCACACTAGAGCCTCCCCCCACTGTCCCACTCCCTGCTGGGGATGCTACTTTCCCCCCCCTAGCCTTAGGGGTCTTGCCCTTCGCCCCCGGACCAGCTTTCTTCGGCGCCATCTTTTCTCCCCTCAACAAGTTGACAACAACAACAAAAACAGGAGTCCTCTTCTCGCTTGTTCTCAGGGCATATTCACCCCCCTAGTACTTTCCTAACGTCTGTGTGACTGTAAAATCAGCAAGATCTGGATGAATCTGACCGCAATCACGTTCAGATCGTAGTAGAGCAAAAAGTCTTCCCATCCTCCCCCGAACACAACGCACCCTCATCAGGAATGTATACAAGCGACTTTTCCGGTTCGATGCAGTCATAATGAGGGCGCGTTGTATTCGGGGGAAGACGGTAGTGTGAGTATGCCCTCAGCAGGCAACCGACGAGGGCTCGAAACCTCGCCTCCAGGCAGGCCGCTCACCAAGATAAACGATCTCTTACCGTTTGTAATTACGCCTTCGCTATATCTCCTCTCTCTCCTTCGAACCGGCTACCGTCTTCCCTCGAACATAATGCCTGCATCAGACCGGAAAGATAGCTTGTATACAATCATTATCAAGGTGCCCTGATGTGTTTTGGGGGAAGAAGGGCAGCCAGCTCTAGGGTCAGTTGCACCGCACGACGGGAAGGGCAGACAAATTTCCGGTGCCGTCAGCACCTACCGGTAGCCACCCGTGAGCTCCTCCGTGCCCGTCTTCCCCCGAACTGGACGTACCGCAACTGGAGATGAACTTGGCTCAACTTTTCCATACAGATTCGGCAGCAATATTAACATTGCATTCTGTTCGGTGGAAGACATCAAGCTTGGCGCGCTTTGGGCAGCCTCATTGTCATCATGATCCTTGTTCTTCGCCTACGGACAGCCAGACTGTGTTCTTCGAGGTTCCAGAGCCACAGCAATACCTCTATGCCGGCAGCCGCAGCGGCGCGCAGTGGCCTGCTGCCGCTGCAGTAGTCTCGGGGTCGCGGGACTTAGTTGCAGCCTGGGTAATCAATCAATGGGCTTCGACGATCCACAGCACTACGAAGCAGGCAATACCTCTATGCCTGCAGGCGCAGCGGCGCGCAGCGGCGCGCAGCGGCGCGCAGCGGCGCGCAGCGGGCTGCTGCAGCCGCAGCAGTCGCAGGCTCGCATTCCTCTGGTTCAAACCTGGGTAATCAATCAATCAATTGGCGTAGACGATCCTCTGGACTACGAAGCTTCGCTTGCTTGATTCTACATACATCATCGCGGCCGTTGATCCAGACAATCTACGACCATGATAGCTTGTCAGCAATGCTGGGGTTTCCTTTTTCCATGGCGGGTTTCGAACCCCGGCCTTCTGCTTGGAAGGCAGATGTACTGTCCGTAGGTCTACAGACGCTAGCTGGGGTTTCCTGTCCTCTGCTACAGTGGAACCATCCCATCTCCCACTGCGAGGACGGAGCCAAGGTCTGGGCCCGTGAGAGCGACCATCATTAGTGTGTTTGTGCAATTCTCGTCTTCCAAACGCATGCCAGATGGGAAGTACTATTAGATTATAGCATTATCATAGTATTACAGTAAGTGTCCGCAGATGTAGCTGTTAATGAACAGGGGAGCCCGAAAGGCGCTACGGTAGTCGCGGCGATAAGCAGAAGAAGGACGATTTGCCAATGACGGGGAAGGGCGCTGGAAAAGGATAGCGGAGATAAGGGGCGTTCGTCGGGAAGAAGAGCAAGGGGGGAAGGAAGGGGTGCTTCACAGCGAATTCGGGTAGCGGTTGAACTGCAGGAGAGGAGATGAATCGAGGGTTCGAGCCCGCGTCCTATCAGGCTCGCTACTGGTTGGCTCCATACACGGGACAGTGGCATAGCACGGAAAAGAGACGGAGAGAGAAAGGAGACGCAGTGGTGAAGGACTTCACGCCGAAGTCGAGTAGCCAATGAACTGCAGAAGAGGAGACGGATGCGAACCCGCGTCCTGGCAGTCTCACCACTGGTAGGTGCTATGCATCGACTGGCATAGCACGGGAGAGGAGACAGATTCGAACCCGCGTCCTGGCAGTCTGACTACTGGTAGGTGCTATGCATCGACTGGCGTAGCACGGGAGAGTAGACAGATTCGAACCCGCGTCCTCGCAGTTTCACTGCTGGTAGGTGCTATGCATCGACTGGCATAGCACGGAAAACGGACGGAGAGAAACAGAGACGATAGGAGAGAAACGGGGAGAGGAAGAACAGGCACGGGGGAAGGGACACTTGACGGAGAAGTGGGGTAGTAGTTGCGCTGTAGGTGGTATGCTTCGAGCCCGCGTCCTCACAGTCTCACTACCATTACTACAGTCTTCCCCCAAATACAACGTACAGTCATTATATAGCACGTTGGGGTATCTTTCCGTCTAAACATACGGCTATAATTACCGTACGTTGTATTCAGGGGAAGAAGGTAGGTTCTATGCAGGGGAAAATGGGATAACACGGAACAGAGACGGGTAGAAACGGGGGGAAACGAATTCGCNGGGAAGAAGGTAGGTTCTATGCAGGGGAAAATGGGATAACACGGAACAGAGACGGGTAGAAACGGGGGGAAACGAATTCGCAGCCCGTCAGGGTTGCGTTTTATGCCCCTGAGAACATTTTGAGAACATTTTTAGCCGTCGTTCATTATACGGTCCAGGACTGCGTAGGACCGGTAGCTGCGAGTAGGAGGCCCAGAAGGCTGCAGTCCTTTTTCGAAATTGAAACGGTGCGGGTAGTCCTTTTTCGAAATTGAAATGGTGCAGGTCCTACACGTTGTATTCGAATACAACGTGTACCCTTTCTATTCGGATTTCGAAAAGAAAAAACTCTTGTATTCCGATAAAATTACTCCTTTTTGTTGGAGGTCAGCGCCTGCCCTTGTGCTCCCC